GATTCGTATTCGAAAAAATTAAACAAATACAAATTCAAATATATCGGTATTCGCTTCGATTCGGTTCGTTTACACCCCTATGGATCACGCCTATCACCCCCCTTTTTTAAAAAAATAATTAACTTAAAACTAATAACATAAAATAAATAATTCAAAAAATATTAAGATTAAAATTACATTGGTGCGATTAAAAAAGAGGAAATAAAAAATACAATTATTTAAAAAAATACAATTACTCATCATTCGAAAGTGGAGGAGCATAGTTCCATAAATGCTCAACTAAATCCCACGAAGGTTGCGTGTTATGTAAGTCGAATCTATTGAGATTTTGTTCTTCATCAACCAGTTCAACGTTAAAATTGTGATTGTTCGGGTCGTATTCGCATAGCGCACATCCTTCGTCTTATAATCATGTTATGTAGGATGCAACAAGCGTACATAATGTAACGTAACGTTTTTGGTGTGAAAGGTCGTGCTGGGTTTTGCACAATGTGCCATCTCTGCTTGAGCACACGAAATAGATGTTCCACGTCTTTTCTTGTTGATCCTTGGTATTTGGCAAAATTCTTTCTCTTTGGATCCTCGTAGTATTGTATAGTTTTGACTATAGCCACGCAATCTGAATAGATACTGTCGCCAAGATAAAACTCATGCTTGTACTCCACCCCTGAAACAGAAAAGGAAGTGTCCGGCCTGATACCCTGTATCATTTCGTTGAATATGTCAGACTGTATAAGAGCATTCAATTCATTGTTTAAACGGCCACCCCAAAAACCGCATGCCAAATCCACTGATCATTCTTGCACCGTTTGATCGCGCAGATACTCATCGAGTGAATCTGCAGTGTTGCCATATGCCAATTGTCGCAACGCTGCGGTGCACTTTTGCAACGTTGAGAAGCCAAATTTTTGTCGGCCATCATGTCACAACGTAAAAAAAAAGGAGTTGCACCTGCCAAATCACTCGCAATGCGGAGGAAAAGACGACGAATCATGCGAAATCTCCGCCTAAATTGTTCGTCAGTGTAGGTCGCATATTCAGGAAAATTATCCTCAACTAATCAGTCGTGCCCACCTACGTATTAGTTTCATAATATTTAATATAAATTTGTAAACTAATATTTCAATAAAATATGAAAAATATAGAAGAATACTGATTCTATCTCTGTTTAGAGCTCTTCTTCTACGTGGTTCATTGTTTTCTTGTTGTTACGTAAGAATCTGAACTGCCCGGGCCATGTTATTCATGAAAAGAGCTTTAGCTTCATCGGAATCGGAGGACATCCACATAGTAAAAAAAAAGTATGAAAATTTGGAAAGTAGAGAGTAGTAGAAAAGAAGATGATGAAAATTTTAAAGTGTGAAAATTGGAAGTAAAGATGATGATTTAAATAAAGGAGAGAGAGATGATGGAAGAAAAAAACTAGCCGTTGAACGACTAGAAATGGGTAGAGGGAGAGCTGTGGTGACCGTGATGGCCATCACCCCCATCACGATCATCCTGTAGGGGGTAGTGTTCCATGCTGTGATGGATGCGGCACCACCTGGCCAATGGCCATCACGACACCACCACGGTGCTCATACTATGTGGTCTTAGGGTTCTTCTCAATGTTCCTAAACTCGATCCGTCCAGAAAGCCAGCACACCTTTTTTAAGTTGACTCTGTTTTTTTTGTGGATTTTGTAGAGTTGGATTGGGTGGATTTAATGCTTGGTTTTGTATGTTTTCTTTGAATTTTCTTTATTTCCTCTTTCTCACCATCCAAACGATACATTAATGTCTGATCCTTGATTGAATCGGTTCAGGAGGGGGGGTTAACCCACATGAGCCATTAGGTGTGCGATCTGGGATTGGAGGTAACAGTTGCTAGGATTCATTACTCGGAGGGAAATTTTTTTAGATACTTTAATGAAGGATTTGACCCTAATTTTTAGAACTTGAGTTATTCATTTTACTCTCGTCAGACCAAACTAGATTAAACCAACTTTAAATATAGCTATAATCAGATCAAAAACAAATTTAAATATAACTACAATCTCATCAAATCAGTACGAATCAAATCACACCTTAATAAGATCAGATTAGATCCAATTAAATCAGATGAAAAGAACATGCTCTACGTGGTGACTATGAGGGACAAATGGCCCCATTGAACTGGCCTACTTTTTTGAGTGCTACTAACTCAATTTTGTGCTATTGACTCGATTATAAGAGTAAGATTTTTGTTTGGTTAGTTTGGTACCTCAATGCAAAATATGAAGTGTCCCCTCCACTACCACATTCATATCAAAATTCGTCCTGGTGGACGTTGTATATTAAGAAGGCAAAGAATGCACAATGGGTAACATCCAAATTTGACTTTTAGCAACTATGCTTCGTGATAACTATCTAAACATAAATCTATGCAAGTACCTGGTGCAGTATTATTCTTTGTTTCAATCTATGGTTAAAGCTCAATTTACTTTTCCTGTGACCACTTGTTGGTCTTGAGAAACTTTGGGGATGAGGTTCATCCTTCAAGTCTAAATCCATCACAATCATGAAATTAAAAAAATGTCATAAGTTGTTTGTAGGGAATTTGCCATGCCTCATTTTTCTAGCCTTTTTTTATTAAAGGATGAGCCCCATCTCCGAGGACCCCCTCAAACCTGGCCGGACGGTCACAGAGAGGATGTGAATTGGGCTTTGATCGCAAATTAGTGACAAAGAGTGAGGCCTGCACCTGGTACTTACAAAAGCCGTATGCTTAGCATAGTTGCGTCTCAACATAGTTGCGAGAAATCAAACTCGAATACCCCCTTAGCACTCTGTGCCTTTGCCAACTGCGTAACGCCAACGACTTCGTATTCCTTTTTATCCAAACATTTAGTTCATGATTTATTTGTATTGTATTCCCTCTGTGGCAATTGAAGCTGTCTGTTTACTATTTACATGGTCTTACTAATTTTTAAATAAATTGAATTTAAAATAACTTCAGCAAACCTTGTAAACAATAACAGGCGACTCTTTTCAAGACGGAGGAAGTATGTTTTAGGGCCCTTTTCTTGAGTTTTGAAGGTATGCTATGAGTTTTGAAATTTGGGAGTTATGATATAAGTTCTGAAATTTGAAATGAAGTTGTTTGGAGAGATTTAAAAATTATGATCTAATTAGTGATGGGTAGAGGTGGCCGACAAAAGGGATGAATGTTAGTGACAATGGTACCTGGTGGGGGGACGACCAACGGTTGATGGAGATATTAAAACTTCATATTGATATCTTTCAAATTCGGAAGATATTGAAACTCTTAATTCGGAATATTTATGATATCAGAAGATATTAATTTTGATATCTCTTTTGCTCACCGAATACACCCTTAATATCTTTTACAGTATTTCCTACTAATTTGTACACCCTTCGTCCCAAATTAATTTTCTTGTTTGCTTTTTCATGTAATTTAAGAAAAAAATAAAATTGTTCGGTCGATATTTATAGAGAGGAATATAGTTTTCTATTTGTGTAGTACGGAGTATAGTTTTCTATTTTTGAATATTTTATTTAATTTTAACTATTTGAGTTTTTTTTTTTTTTTGCAAAAACTATTCGAATACTTAATTAAAATAAAGTTTTTTTTTGTAATTTCAAATTGACTTTGAAAAAAGTTTCCAGTGACGTTCCCCTAGGAGCCCATCATGTTTTTATAGCACACACCCTCCTCAAAATTTACTTTCATGACATCCAACTGAATTCTTGTTGTTGTATATATTTAAATTTTACATCAAAAGATATACGAAATTTGAGGTGGAATAATTATTGTTTTATCAAATTTTCAAAGAAAATATGTCAATAAACTAAATAAAAATTTGATTCTGTAAACAAAGAACCAGATAATTTTTCAACAGAGAGATCAGAGTTTTATTTGAGATGAGCTTTCGGTTCCGTACTCCTGTTTGGTGCATCTTTAAATGAATTTAGGATTAGATGAGAGCTTTAAATAATGGGTAAAGCTATTTGTGGCCTAAGGATTTGTACCCCATTTTGTACACTGCAAGGATGCACCAATATTTTATGTTGGTGTTATGCTAATTTTGTTAACGCACCAACACTTTGTGTCAGTGTAATTTTTT